TAATATACATATAATATTAATTATATACAAATTATATACATATTATATACACATATAATAGGAAATTATATACATTTCCACCTGCTATGTACTTTAATAAATGTGATTCCTTCACAAGTGCCAAGGTGAATATTTTATCCAATTCAAGACATAAATTGTAAGACACTCCTTTGTTTTATGTGCTACTAAGGAAGAAAAAAATCACTCAGTTAAACTGTGGCACATTGACTAGAGTAATTGTTTATTTTAAACTCATTCAAAACATTAAATATGTCTTTTAGACTTATTTAAATAAATTTTATTGTGTGTCATAGTTATGTACATTTTTAAATGAAAATATGCAAAATCAATGCAAAGCAAAGCAAAATACAATGTTTCTACAACAGAGTCCAAATCCAAGTCACTTCCTGTTCAGTGCTTGATGTCTGCTTTGCCCACACTGTTGTCCTCCATGACCCTAAGAGCATTGGTGACACAGTCATGCCCAGCCTGCAGTTTCTGTCTCTAGAACTTTCTTCTAAGCTATTGACAACTATTCTACAAATTTCGAAACTGGCGCTTTATCTTACAAGAAAAAAATCAATGAAAGGTTTTTAGACAATAATCAGGATTTACAATGCATCCTCAAATAGTCATTATGGTTTGTTCTCAAATAGTTTGCTGACTGAAAAGCCAAGGGATTACAGTTAGACGATCGTCATGCAACAAGATTACTCCATGCACAATCAATGCCATCTATGTCATGGCTGCCACCTTTACCAACCATTGTGAGACACTATCGATCACTCCATTTTTGTATCTGTTGAAATGTGAGAAATTATGTGCCTTAGAAGATCTGCAATATGAGATTGTTAATGCTAATAGCTAGCCTTCCATGAGTGACTAATATGTGTCAAATTATATTCCTCATGCATAGTATATCATTTAATCCTAATACAACCCTATGAAGTAGATGTTAACTATTTGAAAGGATAGATTATACAACTTGTTCCAAAGACAGATATCTAGTAAGTGGCAGATCTGGTGTTTAAACTTGGTTCCCTCCCATATCACAGCCTGTGTTTCTTCCATAGCTATCTGGTTATAAATATTTAAGCAGAAAACACCAGAAAGGGGGGGGTCACTCAATCATAGAGAAAACGATAATCTCTCCATCAGCAATTTTCTTTGAATAACAGACAGAGCAAAGAGCAATTGTGTGAACAAATGTCAGACTTATGTATCCATGAATTATCACAAAACTTTCAGAAAAAGAGAGATGAAACATTAATGTGTATCCTATTTGAGGAAGAGAAAAAAACTGCTACATCAGCTGGAAGCTGTGATGACTGCTGAAGAAACATTTTCTGGAATATGCCATATGTCACACATAACCACTTTATTTCTCCCCAGTTAAACAAAAAACTCTGCAATTTTCAAATAGAGGAAAAGTTCATCTATACTTAATGTATAATAAAGAGTGTATCTGGACTAAGGACAGTACTTGTTTTATCTGCACTGGTATTATTTGCATTAATTAAACATCCTTTTCACAAATACATGGATCTTTGTCTCACCAAAATCAGAAGCTGGTATGAACAGGATGCACTGTTAGCTCTTAGCTTATTAATGTTAAACCATCTCCTATACACTGAATCAAAGTAATTAACAGAAAATACACAAACTGACTCTTCTGTGGAAATCTCTCTCCTTGTCTTCATGAGAGACAGATTTTTTTCCCATAAGCTATTTTTATGTGCATGTCGAGGCTTCAACATTCCTTCAAGAATAACTTTGTTGGCAGACATGAAACAAAGCGGCTGGGCTAAGTATCATATTCTCCATGTTTGCACTCAGAAGAAAGCACAGGAAAAGAGCTCCTTGACATTGGTCTTGGCAATAATTTTTTGGCTGTGACACTATAAAAACACAGGCAGCAAAAGCAAAAATGACATGTGGGACTACATCAAATTAAAAAGCTTTAGCACAGCAAAGGAAATCAACAAAATGAAAAGGCAACCTACAAAATGGGAGAAAATACATGCAAATCACATATATGATAAATGGTTAATATCTAAAATATCTCCAAAGGAAACAAAATCTAGTATCTTGAAGAAATATCTATTCCCCTGTTTGTTGCAACATTATTCATAATAACCGAGATATGGAAGCAATCTAAGTATCCATTGATGCATGAATAAAGAAAATGTAATATATATATTCCTTTGTGATATATGTACATATACATATATACACAAATATACAAAAGAATATTATTCAGCCATAAAAAAGAAGGAAATCCTGCCATTTGCAACAGCATGGATGAATCTGCAGGACACTATGACTGAGTGAAACAACCCAAATAAAGACAGACAAAGATTGTATGATCTCTTTCATAATGTGGAATCTTAAAAAAAAATAAGCATGGTGACTGTAGTTAAGAATACTATATTGTATGCTTGAAATTTGCTAAGAGAATAAATCTTCTCAACACACACACACACACACACACACACAGAAAGGTAAGATATCATGGATGCATTTTTGGTAATCATTTCATACTGTATATGTATATGAAATCTCATTGTACACTTGAAATATATACAATTTTGTCAATTATACCTCAGGAAAGCTAGAAAGATTTAAAATAAAAGCAAAAGATATATAATTGTTATTGATTTCTTCCCAAAGTATATATTCAAAGAGAAAGAAATTTCCATAAGTTGTGTATAATGTGTGTGTGCGTGTGTGTGTGATCAACTACACTTTTGAAAGGAAACGGAACTGAACTATGTGATGTTACCTTTTTAATAGAACAGAAGATATTAAAGAAATTATAAACAAAGTCAAACAATAGGAAAAACCTGGTACTATCAAGTATTCTATTTTTATGCATTCCACAAACATGCTAATAACAAGGCAGAATCCATTTTAATTTAAGGGACATCTAAATTGTATTGAAATATTTTAAGGTAAACATCATGGATGATAGAGTTTAATCTTATATCAGCTAGTAAAAATTGCATTTGGTGTGTTATAAAATTCATATGCTTGTCTAATGATGTTTACTCTTCCTTACAGGTAACTCCTTTAGCTGACTGATGGACATACAGATATAGCAATATATGTAACGTTTAACTAGTAGTGATAAGGTAACGAAGAATATCACAAACTCTGAATAACAATACTGAATCAACATCAGTTAGCCCAATCTGCATACATTATAAATGAAAACAAGAGCACTGTTCTACAATAACCTCAGCCTTATGAAAAAACTATAAGTCTTCTGAAAATATAAGCTGTAAATGATTCAGTGTTAAGTATTGTGTCCTCAGGTATTCATAAATATTTTTGTGCACATTGCCTATAAATGTCTCTATATTTTTAAATAATATATTTCAAGTGTTCTAATATGCACCGGAAGTCTGCATTTTTCCATAGTATATACATGAAAAAAGAAACTTTAGAATAAAACCATTTTTCTCTTTTTGTGTACGGGCACTGCATTTTTAACGTAGACTCAAATCTCTCCAAGTTGTGTGAGTATTATACATCTTCTCTGTTTCTATATATAAAAGTACCAAACATGCAAACCTTATGTTACGGGGAGTTCTGATACTGAGTCCGTGTACCAATAGCAATCACAACACCTGGGAGTTTGTGAGAAATGCAGAATTTCAGGTCCCACCCCAGACCTACTAAATGAGAATCTGCATTTTGAATAGAATCACCAGGTTACTCCCTTACACACAGAGTTTAAGACGCTCCGATACTTTAGGATACTTTATTGATTGGTCTAATTTTCTATAAATTAACCATATTGAAACAACTACTATATAAGTAAGCATTCCATGTGTATCCTTTATTTTTGTGACATTTAAGATTTAGCATGTAACAAGCTCACCAAGGGAACTTGTTTTTAACAAGTTTTTAACATAGATTTTCAAGCTTTTTCCCAGAGCTTAGAATTCAGTAGGTCTGGGGTCAAGGCTGGTTTCCCCCAAACAATCACTCCCCTGAACAGAATTAAAGTAGTAATAATATCAGTTCTTGTTGATGGCTCCAAATCATAGCAAAATACCTAACACACAGGATAGTTACATGCAAATTGTTTCTGTTAAGTTCCAAAAATGTTTCAAACTTTTTCTGCAACTATTAATCATAGAATCAAAAATATGCCAAATGGGCCTGGTTCCGTTCATGGAACCTGCTGAAATCATTCTCCCTCAGCTCCTTCCCCCACCCATACCCTGGCCCCAAGGAATATCATTATCTCAGCCAAAGGATGACTAAGTCATTCACTGGAGACCTTAAGAAGTGGGCAGTGACCCCGCTGGAATCAACTACTTCTTGCACTAGGAAAAAAGATGAGTATATCCTGCAAAATACTCAATATATTCTCTAGAGGACCCAAACACAAATGCATCCTAGAGCCACCAGGTGACCAATGGGAGAAACCAGGACTGTGATACCCTAATTACATTCAAGTTCAAAACATAAAAACCTTCCACAAGGACAAACAAGAACATCTCCGAGGGCAGCATTCAGCCCCTGACATGCCAGTTTACAGTATCTGCACTAGCACGATTTTTCTCATTAATTTTCTGGTGACTTATGGAAGGGCATATTTTTATTATTAATTTGCTCATAAGGCTTATTTGGGGACTCTCGGGAACTTTGTTATAATTTGGATTTTACTTGGAGCACCAAAACATGGTGATATACCAGGTTTCTAATCTATATCAGGCTGCTGAAGTGCAGTGGGTTTTTAAAGACATAGTAAATAAGCTATAGCCATAAGCTAGGGGTTTGCATAGTCCTATTTTTTCTATCAAGTTTTATTATAGAGCCTACAGAAGATGTTCAGTTTACATTCTTTTATACCACACTATATACCGTCTTCAGAGAAATAACAATTCTATTTTGGGGGACTGCTTGTCTTCATCTGACTTGTTATTGCTTTCTTATGGTAAGTGTAATACTGCTAATTGACTTCACTGCTTTGCTTCTGCATGATTATGAAAGATTTACGATGTCCCAAAAATCACCATTTCCAAAGTTTACCTAGAAGTATCCTTATAGTACAACTTGTGAAATGAAAACAGAGTTGTTCACATGATCAATATGTACTTTTATTTTAAATACCAGCACAATAGACACAATGACACCATAGGACTATTACCTCAATGATACTGATAACATTCCTTGACAAGTTGGCTTATAATTTACATACATTGTTTTATCTGGAACTATTTTTAAATATTATCATAAGATACACTGTAAGACACAAATCTTAAATACACCAGTTGCAAACATAACACGTTTAGTTACTATTTTGCATATGAAATGATTTAAAGTTCCTCAAAATCATGTCCACTTGTGTTCATTGTTTCAGGATGCATGACTCGTCCCATGAACAAGACCGTACCTGCGTTGGGGTGGAAGTGAACAAAACAGGGTGTGAACAAAAAAGTGGGATATTTACTTTCCTTCTTGCTGACAATTAGCAGTGTTCTAAAAATAAAAATATAAATAATTCTTTTTAAAAAATCATTTGAATATTAGACATGATCTGATAAGTAATGTGGAAAAAAATGCTCTCTCTTTTTTAAAAAAAATTATCTCTTTTTGGCCTATAAATAAAGTCCCATTCTTATAACAGACTTACCTGTTCTCCTGTTCCTGATAAGAAAGAAAAATGGATGGTCGACAATAACTTGCGGATACAGCACAGCCATCCTACTAATTGCAATCATTCCTATAGTGCAGAGAGAAAGTAATTACATGTCTGTGGATGTGCAGAGACTAATGAGTAATTTCTCCAACACCATCTATATTTAATGCAAAGGCAACAATTTACAGGAAACAAAATTTTAAAGACTTAGAGAAAAAATTATGAAGGTGACAACATTTCTACTTGATCTTTAAACACATCACACACACACACACACACACACACACACACACACACACACACACAAAGTTTCCTACCTCCAATCCACCAAAAATACTAGAAAAATTTATTGTGCTTCTTACAAAACTTTTATTCTCCGTTTCAGATAAATATATATGGCTTTACTAAAATGACCTTTGAACTAAGGAAAGGGGGAGAATTAACAAACACCCCCAAACAAACAAACAAACAAAAAACCAAGTTTCTTTATATTCCCAGATCATTATTTCCTTTTGTCTAAAATGGGGATTTTTACATACTTCTAGTAAGTGGCCAGAATGGCAGTGATTAAAGGGAAAAAGCAGCAGTAAGAGAAGCATGATGTTTCTTATGGCTGGGAAACTGAATTCCCTTGAGATCCTTATTATGGGATAATCATTTTATACTTGCTGCAGGGTGATTCATTATAAGGAAAAGGTCAAGATTAAATTATGTAAGATTTTAGGCTTTCCTGATGCCCAAGACTACTGTGTTTCTATTTCCTCCTGAAAACACTGTTTTAACTGGTGATATCCTTTTAGTGGACAAATTTATGCAGAAGTTTAAAAAAATGATAGGTTCCGTTTTGCCAGAGGAAGGAAAAATCCTACTAAAATTTGAACATAGCAGTGGAACATGAGATTGAAACACACTCAAAGAAATAAATGGGAAAAAATGTCATTGGAAAAAATCATTCTCATTTAACTGGGGAAATCAAAACATTCAAAATAATCAAGGACATTTAACATTTTGCTTTGAACATGTGATTTAGGTCAAAATTTTAGAATTATTTATTTAAAATTATTTTACCAGCATTATTCAGTTAAAATTACTTAAAATTATTTATTATGTCTTGTTTATGTGGGTGCTTTTAAAAAAGCAAGACTTTTGACAAAATTAAGAACTAGTTTCCAGGAGGGCCTGGGTGACTCAGTTGGTTAAGTGTCTGCCTTCGGCTCAGGTCATGATCTCAGGGTCCTGGGATCCAGCCCCGTTGGGCTCCCTGCTCAGGAGGGAGTCTGCTTCTCCCTCTCCCTTTGCCCCTCTCCCCCACTTGCATTCTCTCTCTCTATCTCAAATAAATAAATAAAATCTTAAAAAAAAGAACTAGTGTCCACAAGTAATTAGGTAAGAAGAAGAATGTTTAAATGGGTGATGAGAAAATATCTAAAATATTTAAACAGGCAGCACAGCAGGGAAATCTATTCTACAGAGCCACCAATGTCCTCCTGCCTCTCATTAGAGTTACTCTGTATTGGGGCACTGGAGTTAAGTGCACGCTTCATGTCCTATTTAGAAAATTCTAGCTGATTCAGCATTAGCTTGACTTCTAAGAGCAGAGTCAGTATTTTTTAGCTTCATTGTAAAAATGACCCCCAACCCCCACCCAAGATGGTTTTAAAGATACAAATCAAAAAAAAAAAAAAAAGTGAGAACATTGTAGAAAATGATAACTTGGGACCTGAGGTTGCAGCAGCTTCTGAGCCTTCTTCATTAACCTCGAGGAAGGACTTGTGAATTGCTTTGGAAAGGAAAATCTCCTTATTATCTGCAGAAAAAGAAAAAAAAAGAGAGAGAGAGAGAGAGAAAAGAAGCATTTCTTCAGTATCAGAAATAGAGGAGCCTTTTACTCTTTATTTAAACAGCTTTGGAAAATGTGACTTAAGGCACTGATTCTAAAATAGAAGAGATAATGTCAGATTATATTATGATTTCAGAGAAGCCTTGAAGATGTGTTTTCTGATTTGTTCTTGTTTTATATTCTCTTGTTAATGTTTCCCTTCATTTTTATTGGTAATTTTCCCATTGTTTATTTCTTATATTGCCAGAGAAAGCAGAAATGTGGCTCTGTTTTTAATAGCAACTTCAAATTAGTTCATAACTCAAGATAAAAACATCTCAAACATTTGCACTCTAATCTGAAATTTTAAAGCACAAAATGAAGAAAACAGGTAGAAATCCACACATAACCAGAGTACGAAATTTTTAAAAATTTGTATCTCTAATTACTGTGATAATAGAAATATTCTTGGCAAAGAAAAACAAAATTGACTTTTAGATTATAGAAAAGTGAATAGAAAAAAGTTACTTTCCATTCCAGTTAATTGGCTTATCTGAGGATTCACAAACATGCTTTATCCTAAAGTCAGAGGAAAGAACACATTTTCAGTGTTGGGAAGGCTTTTTCCCTTAGAGTTGTCTTTTATGTATGCTTACTTTTAAATTAATGGCTGTTATAGGCTGAATTGTGTTCTCTCAAAATTTATGTGTTGAAGTTCTAGCTCCCAAGACTTCAGAATATGACTGTATGTGTGTATGTATTTAAGATTTCATTTATTTATTTGACAGAGGGAGGCGTAGCAAGAGAGGGAACACAAGCAGGGGGAGTGAGAGAGGAAGAAGCAGGCTTCCCGCCAAGCAGAGCCCTGATGCGGGGCTCGACCCCAGGACCCTGGGATCATGCCCTGAGCTGAAGGTAGATGCTAAATGACTGAGCCACCCAGGCACCCCAGAACATGACTGTATTTAGAGATAGAGTTTTAGGTTAAAATGAGGTCATTAGGATAGGCCCTAATCCAATATGACTGATGTCCTTAAAGAGAATAGGAAATTCGGACACAGAGAGATAGAGAAGGAAGACCATGCCCGATGGCTAATTTTATGTGTCAACCTGTCTGGGCCAGGATATCTGTACCCAGATATTTAGCCAAACTATCATTTTGGATGTTTTCTGCAAAAAAATTTTTTTGGATGAGATTAACATTTACATTGGTGGTCTTTGAGTAAAGCAGATTGCCCTTGTAATGTGGGGGGCCTTAACCAATCACCTGAAGGCTTTATTTTTTTTATTTTTTAAAAAGATTTTATTTATTTATTTGACAGAGGGAGAGAGAGTACAAGCAGGGGGAGTGTCAGAAGAAGAGGGAGAAGCAGGCTCCCTGTTGAGCAGGGAGCACAAGACGGGACTTAATCTAGACCCTGGGATCATGACCTGAGCTGAAGCCAGCTGCTTAACCAACTAAGCCAGTCCAGAAGGTGCCCCAGAATATGACTGTATTTAGAGATGCCCCCAGCTGCAGGCTTTAGAACAAAGACTGACCTCTAAGCAAAAACGAATTGTTCCATTTGACTGCTTTTGGACTCTTCCCTCAATCTCCAGCTTGCCAGCCCACCCTGCAGATTTTAAATTTCCGAAGTCACCACAAGTGTGCAAGCCAGTTCCTTAAAGTAAATCTCAGTCTCAGTCTGTCTGTCTGTTTCTCTATATAGATAGATACATCTCTCTCTATAAACACACACACACAGACACACACATCCTGTTGGTCCTATTTATCTGAAGAATGTTAATACACTATGAGAAGACAGACATCTACAAGCCAAGGGGAGAGGTCTAGAAGATTCCAAGCCTGAGGACATCTTGATCTCGGATTTCCAGCCCCCAGAAGCATGAGAAAACAAGCATCAGTTGTTCAAGCCCCCCCAGTCTGGGACTTTGTTATGGCAACTCCAGCAAACTAAGCAATAGGTTGTTGGGTTTCCAACTTTTGTCCTCAAGATCAAAACAAAATGAACAAAACATAGTTCAAATGCATAAAAAGAAAAATAGCACAAGGAAGCAAGATACAAGATTACTCAAGTTTCTGCCACCCACAACCCCAACCCCCTTTTTCCATTCCAGGAGGTGGAATTCAAATTTAAGATAACCTTGTTGCTGATGCACTATTCAGTAAAAGCACAGTGCATTTCCCATTAGGCTACATAGAAAGACTTTTTCAGTAACCCAGTCCTACCCACAACATACACTTTCAAGTTTTCAAAAACACATAATTATCTTATACTGACAGGGAGTAATGCTCAATAACATTCTTGATACATCTGTTGCATGGCACCTGCTTATTTTGAATAAACCTCAAGACAACTGAGTGGCAACTCTGAATATACTTTTAATAGGGATATTACTTCCTCAACTTATATTTAGTATTAAGATATAAGCTTGCATTTTGAAATAGTATGTCTCACATATTATGATATTTTCTTCTAGAAGACATTTGATGACTAGGAGAAAAATAAAAAGCAATAGAGTTTTGACATTAAACAATTAAGTATAATTAGCTCCTGCAAATCCAGAAGACTAGTTTTTTTTTTTTTCCAACAAATAAGAAGAAAAATATAAACTGCCTTAAGTAACTAGTCAGATACATTCAGCTGGCAAAACAAATACACAAATTCCAAGAGAGTCAAATATATGAACCATTTAGTAGTTAACTGATGCTAGATCATTTTCAGATTCTGCTCCCCATTTTGTTCAGTGGGCCAGTGAAGGTGGGGTCATGCACCAAGAGCCAGTATTATGGCCCTGAACACAAAAGTGACAGAATGTAGTTCCTAAAGGGTAATGAGTGTCCACACTGCCAGCTAAGCCCTCTTTAAATATTCTGAGGAGAGTTCTCAAAGATACCGAATGATACTTTAGCCACATATCATTGCTCAGAGGAAGCTGCCTCGCAGCTCCTGAGCCTGATCTGTCGACTGCACTGGACACCTTGAAAGAAGGAATCTCATCCCTTCAATGCTGGCTTCTACCACAAAGGTACCCTCTTCCTCCAGGCATCCAACCTCTTATATGCCCTCATTTACCCCTACAAAATGGTGAGAGGATGGGTAGGAGGTGCCAGGCACCATGGCAGATAGATCAAGAAAACATGGATGCTGAGAGTTCTTCCCACAGAGCTGGTTATTTAAAAGAACATGAAATGGACAAACCTTCAACAAGATTCACAAAGAAGAGAGATTACCTAAATAAACAATATTAAGACAAAAGAAAACATGTCTAAAGATACAGAGAGAATTTTTTAAAATCACAAAAAATACTTCGTATAATTTCCTGCAGACAAACGTGAATCCATGTATGAGGTATAACTTATTTACTATGAACTGCATGTATTTACAATACAATGATTACAATACAGGAAAACAAAAATATATTTTACAGACCACATCACAGTTTGGTAAGTTTTTATTTTGTTTTGGTTTTTTAAAGATTGTATTTATTTACTTGACCAAGAGAGAGCACAAGCAGGGAAAGCAGCAGGCAGAGGGTGAGGGAGAGACAGGCTCTCTGCCGAGCAGGGAGCCTGATGTGGGGCTCAACCCCAGGACCTTGAGATCATGACCTGAGCCGCAGGCTGATGCTTAACGAACTGAGCCGCCACGTGTCCTTCATAAGTTTTGACATACATATCTGTGAACCACCTCCACAAATAAGATACAGAATATTTCCATCTCCCCAAAAGATTCTTGTGCTTCTTTATGCAGATAATTTTGAAAATAAAGAGATTTGCCATCAACCAGACAATTTTATAGAAATGTACAAATGATAAAACTGGATGAAGAAAAAAATAGACTATCTGAATAATCCAGTAACCATTAAAGTAGCTGAATGAGTAGGTGAAAACTTCCTCCTTCCTCAAAATTAAAGAATGTGAGCCTATGGGCACCTTAAGCATCTGACTTTAGATTTCAGCTCAGGTCATGATCTCATGGTAGTGAGATTGAGCCTTGCACTGGGCTCTGCACTAGGCCTCAAGCCTGCTTGGGATTCTCTCTCTCTCTCTCAATCTCTCTCCTTCTGGCCCTCCCACCATCCCCTGTCTTAAAAAAAAAAAAAGAAAGAAAGAAAGAAAGAAAGGAAGAAAGAAAGAAAGAAAGAAAGAAAGAAAGAAAGAAAGAAAGAAAGAAAGAAAGAAAGAAGGAAAGAAAGAAAAGAAAGAAAGAAGAGCAAAAAGGAAAAAAAAAAATCTAAGCCTGGATGGTTTTCTAGGCAATTTAGCCAATCCCTCAAGGAAAGGATAGGATTTTCTATTATAAATCCATTTTCAATTCTAGAAAGAGAATAAAGCAATCTAAGTCATCTATGGATAGTCTTACCATATTAAGATTGAACCAGGACAGTCTAATAAAAGGCCAATAAAATCATAGGCCAAGCTCACCTATTAACATAGAGATAAAAGTTTGTTTTGTTTTGTTTTAATCAGGAAGTTAAACTCAGCAACATATGGAAATACTTTTTTAAAATGAGTTTCCAAGGGACATCACAGTCTGTAATGGCACAGCAGTTCTGAATGGCTCTAGTGCCTCCATTTCACATCAAGCCTTGCTCTGGGATGATCTCATCAGACCCAAGCCAGTTTGTGCCCCTACAACCCTACTTAAAGCCCTGTCTCCCCTCTCCTGCTGGCTCTGCCTCTCACCCTGCCTTCCGTATACTGCGCACCAGCAGACCTAGGGGGCAATGCGAGGGTCTCCGTGAGGTTCCTCTGAGTCGCTCATGTAGCGTGCTTCACCCCACCCACTGGGCTCCAGGTTATTTGAACTGTGACCCCTGAACATACCCCCTCCCTCACTTCTCTGTCTTTGCTTCCCCACAAACTCCTTCAATTTGGGGCGCCTGGGTGGCTCAGTGGGTTAAGCCTCTGCCTTTGGCTCAGATCATGATCTCAGGGTCCTGGGATTGAACCCCGCATCGGGCTCTCTGCTCAGCGGGGAGCC